GCGCAGCTCGTCAGTGAACAACGGCTCTGTGTAGTTAATGCTGCTCAATGTGAAAGCCCGCAGGTGATGGAGATTTACCGCTGATTACAGAACCGGCTTTACTGATAAGATGCGCGTTAAATATCGCATGCGATTTATCGTGCAGCCCTACTACTAACTATTAATAAGCAGCAAATTAGTAGTTTAATGAGCCAAAAGTCATAGTTTATGGTTTGTTAATAGCGAGAATTGGACCTTAAAATAAAGTGTGTGACCATTAATATATTTAATATCATACCAAAGTTTTATTTTCATGTCAATTTATCTTAAGGATTTTTAGGTATTTTACTGAGAAAAGGATTGAAAATAAGCATAAAACAAAATAAGCATAATGTGGAGTTAAGGATGTTGAGATATTCTTTCTGTAAAACGACAAAAATGCTGATTAAGAAAATTATTATTATTTTGTAATGTCATAAAATAAAATTAAACTAAATAAGCAAATGTAGAGATGTTTATGCTTAAGGAGAAACAATAATGTACAGTATGTGGAAAATGTTTTTTTAACCTTAAACCGCATAAACACATTTCATTACACCAAATACACAACATAATGTTCTTTTTAGCAGCATCATATGACCCCTTTAATATCTGACCCAAGATCTTTAGGTATTTTACTGACAATAAATACATACATAAATGAATACATATACTGATGTTACCATGTATTAAAACCCTGAAAGCCTTAAAATCTCAAACAAAAATGTCTTAGCATCTTGTGAGCATCATTACTGTATTGTTGTACACATTTTCACAGCTATATACATTATGTGATTTAATTGATTTGCAATAACTGACATGCCAACAGACAACTGGGACCAAGGATTCTGTTGTAGTCGCATAACATCAATCCACTGTTTCACCACACCCATTCCAGACCTCTTCCCTCTGCTCTTTATTTTCCACCCAATTTAAGATGATGCAACATAGTGACTGAACTCAAGAGATTAAAAATTAAGCAGCTTATCTAGCTCATAATTATAACCTGATAGCAGCATGTCCCTGTAATCACAGGTATATATCTAAGCGGAGCTTCATGGTCTGGACAGAGTCCTGTCATATTCACTGCCTGTCATATTCAGAGCATTATTTTTGGGCTGTGCTAAGTTAGAGCTTTTCCTATGGATCCCAACAACACCTCGGTGGGATTCTTTGTTTCTGTTAGGTGTGGCGGACGCTCCTTTATGCAATATGCAAAGCTTCATGCATCATAATTCTACAGCTCATTATAGCCAACGATCAATATTCAGTCCTTTTCTAAGCATCAGAGTGGGTTAACAAACGTATCTCTATTTATTTTCAGGTGGAAATCGACACACAATAGGACACTTGCTCATTGTGCCCACTCTTTCCCAGCATGCACTGACACATGCTTGTTTATGGGGTCATTACGGTGAGCTTTGCATAAAATGTGTCGGCGTGAAGTTGGCAGTTGAGCTCTGAGATGAAGGGAGCGCGGTCGCCACGGAAACTGAAGAGATGGGTGCAGTGGAGTGAGCAGTGATGCAGTTGCCATAGCGATGGAGCTTGCCCCCCCACCAAGCGCTGCCTGCCAGACGGAGTAATAAGTTGCTGATGAAATGATGGGGGAGGGGAACAGGAGGTAACACTGCTATGACAGACACACAAGCAAAGACCCTCTTGCTAAAACACTCCACTGCTGACTACAACATGCTCCTCGTTCATGCAGTACCTTTGCTTTTTATCAAGCTAAAGGACAACCGCTAATAACCATCCGGTCCTTGGGGGCAAGAATGGCTAAAAATAGCTAGCACTGTGTGACTGCACTGCAAATCATTTCCTTGATCATTTTTTGTCTTGTTTTCCAGTATATACTTGAGAAGTAAAATTGTGTAAGATGTTAAGACTTGTTTTTAGAGAATATATCGTGAATTCTGTTTATTTTGCATACTGTGTTGGCAAATTGGCATTTTTTCTTGTGTTTTTTCTAGTAAATTTAATCAGTGTTGTGCTTAAAAAAACTCTTAATATCTTACTCAGTTTTGCTTCTTAAGTAAATTTATCTT